AACAAAGGTTTAGAGCCGAGGATTTGGTTCAACCAAATTCTCGGCTCTAGAGTGCTTCCAGCATAAATCGGCGGTACTTGTCCGGTCGGGAAACGGGAAACAAACAAAACCCTGGAGCAAGTGAAGCGCTTCAAAGAAACGCCGAAATACTCTAACTCGAGAAAGACATATCACCATCATGGCGGATCTCTCGCTCAAATCCCTGCATAAGAGCTACGGCCTCGTCGAAGTCATCAAGGGCATCGATCTCGATATCAAGCACGGCGAATTCGTGGTTTTCGTCGGCCCCTCGGGCTGCGGAAAATCCACCCTGCTGCGCATGATCGCCGGCCTTGAAGAGATCACCGGCGGTGAGCTCTATATCGGCGACGTGCTGTGCAACGATGTCGAACCGCGGGACCGCGGCATTGCCATGGTGTTCCAGTCTTATGCCCTCTATCCCCATATGTCGGTTTACGACAATGTTGGCTTCGGGCTCAAACTCGCCAGGGCGCCAAAGGAGGAACGGGACAAGAAAATTCGAGACGCCGCGCGTATCCTGCAGATGGAACATTTGCTCGACCGCAAGCCCAGCCAGCTTTCCGGTGGCCAGCGCCAGCGCGTCGCCATTGGTCGCGCTATCGTGCGGCAGCCCGAGGTCTTCCTCTTCGATGAGCCGTTGTCGAACCTGGACGCCGCCTTGCGCGTCGATATGCGCATGGAACTGTCAAAACTCCACGGGCAGCTAGGCGCGACCATGATCTATGTTACCCACGATCAGGTCGAAGCAATGACGCTGGCCGACAAGATTGTCGTGCTCAACGGTGGCGAGGTACAACAGGCCGGTTCCCCGATCGATCTCTACAAGAACCCCGCCAACCTTTTCGTCGCCGGTTTCATCGGTTCGCCAAGGATGAACTTTCTTTCGGCCACCGCCGCCGAAATCGAAGGCGACCGGCTCATCATGGCGTCCGGGGCCATGGAAACGATTACAGCAGAGGTGACGGGCCATGCCATCCGGCAGGGGGAAAGCCTTACGCTGGGCATCCGTCCTCACGCCCTCCGTCCTGCCGAGCACGGAGCGCTCCGGGGCATCGTGGACATCGTTGAACGGTTGGGTAACGAAACCATAGTCAATTTCCGCCTGCCGGGTGAGGAACAGTGGCTGGCGGTCATCGCTGGCGACGTGACATTCGGTCGGGGAGACAGCGTCGGATTCGACGTCACCGCCGACGATATCCTGATCTTTGACGCCAAGGGCCGCAACGTCCGAAACTGAATGCACTCCATCGACCTTCAAGGCGTTCGAGCACGTTCAGGCGTCGCCGGGCACTTCCGCGACCAGCCAGTCACGGAAAGCGATGAGCGGACGATAGGTCTCGCGCGCCGGTGGCCAGGCCAGCCAATAAGATCCGGTGCCGGAAACGGCGGGCGCGAACACCGGGCTGAGCCGTCCTGCCGCAATCTCGCTTTGCGCAATGTAGTGGGGCAGCAATGCCACCCCCAGCCCGGCAATCGCCGCCTCGATCATCAGCGCAAACTGGTCGAACATCATGCCTGAAACGGGCAGGGGCACGGCCCCTTGCCCGGCAAACCAGGCGTCCCAGGCGCGCGGCCGGGTTTCGAGCTGGAAAAGCTGCAGGCCCGTCAGATCGTCGGGCTCATTTATCGGGTGGTTGGCCAGAAGGTGTGCTGCCGCGCATGCAGTGACACGCTCGTCGAATAGCCGCATGTGCCCAGCATCGGGCGTATCACCGCTCCCGAAATAGATCATCGCGTCGAACCGCTCCGCCGCAAAATCGATGGGGCGAATGCGCGTCGAAAGATTAATCGTAA